TATATATATATATATAAATAAAAACAAACCAAAATCAAAACAAAACAAGAGGACCTGTTTGGACAATATCTCCAAAGACAATATGGAGGCGCTACAGAAGTTACAGAAGTCTTAATTTGCTGACGTTCGCTCCAGATTATTAATAAGGCAACTGTTTTTGTTTTTATTTCTTCGTGAGCTCGTTCACAGTATCAGCAAATCCATGTCTCTCTGTGATCCACATCCATAACCTCAAACCTGTAGGAACCTACAAACATCAATAGTGAAACGTAATGTTCTTCAGTTCTTAAACAACATTGTCACATATTTCCTTATTTCATACACTCCACAGAGACACGTCCACCACAGATGTGTCTATGTGTCTTTTATCTTTTTTGTTGTTGTTGTTGTTGTTGTTGTTTTATTTTGTTTTTGACAAAAAATATATATTTCTACCCTTCTGACTCCCCCATAGCACATTGTGATCGTACCTATGACTCTCCCAGCATCTAGTATACTGCGCGTATACTAACAAACAGCCTAAAGTTTACTATAAAGTGAAAAACTCATGGAATACTTATAGTAAACTTCACAATACACAGAGTTAGTGGAGGAGGACCGGGTAGAGGGAGATGAAAAATTACTTATTTGAGCGAATGTTAAGAGTTGTCATCAGCCGAGTCTTTGGTGCCATAAAGATCGGCAAGTTTCTTGAAGCGCGGCCCCCAGCTTTGGAGGTAGTCGTAGTCCAGGTCTGAATCTGTGGTCACTGACTCCAAGGAACTCAGAGAGCCAGCGATAGAGCCTCTACCTTCATAACCGTAGATCTGAATGGAGTCATACGGGGGCGCTGTGGGGTCATTGTCCGCGTCAGAAATCCGCGTTTTGATGAAATCATCCACGTCTACGCTGTTGCCAATGGGCCTCAGGCCAGGGCACATGGGATACTGCAGCTCGGGCTTGATGTCCTTACGGGGCAGGAAGCCATTGGCACCGTCTGGATTCTGTAAGGTGGCGATGTCAAATGCCTCTGTGTCCTCCTCACCACCTCCCTCATCATCATAGGTGATGATGTTCTCCCGAATGTCTTCCTCCTCAAATACGATCAAAGGCTCCTTTTTCTGGTGTCGCAGGGCCACAAACAGCACCACAATCGCTGTAGACATGCAAACAAATGTTAAGCCAATGCTAATAGCATCTCTTACTTATGCTGGAATCGCTATGTTGCTTCTCTATAGGTAATCACATCAGAAACTGTTTTCTTAAATGTAGTTGTTGGAAATATTTGACTATGAAGATAAAGTGTTCCCAATAAATGCAATGTTTTAATACTGCACTTTGATAAGTCTTGAGACAGCTAATATATTTTGGGAAATTATGAACTGTTATATTACAGCTCTTCAATATGACTTGACAAGCTTTAAACATTAGACAATATTCTAAATCCCTCGTAAGACCGTTCTCTCAGTGCAAGGTAACTAACTTTACATGGTTTCCCAAAAATACACTCAATGATTGTGTGTACATGTCGCTGTCTGCATTTTTTACCTTTTTTTTTTACTTTGCATGGAAACATACAGTAAAAACTCTTCAATCTAAATGCCAACATAAATATAATCTATTCACATGATCTTCTATGTTCACTTTATACAGTCACAGCATTTATTTATGTATGCATGTATTTAATAATATTATTTTTATTATTGGTTTAAATAAAATTAAATATTAGCAAAAGTATCCTGATATTAAAGTCGCATTGTATAATGAATAAATTGTAACAATAATAACTGTACAAAGTTTAGGTGCAATTGAGCAGTTGTTCAACAAGTGACTACATAAGTTTGCCTTACAATTACAACTCTGAAGCATTCGTCTCTAACAATTTAAAATATTACTTAAATGCACAATATGTAATTTTCGCCGCTAGAGGGTGCATATTCAAAATAAACAAAGAAATAAAGGCGTAGTTTGATGACGCCGTGACTGAGTGTGGAATCATGGGAGTTGTCGTCTTCATCCCCACAGCCGAAGCAATCTGACGGGACTCGGGCAGAAATCATGTTCATGGATGAGCTAATGATCTATTAATGTAGCAGAATGAAGCAGGGTGAGGCTGAAAGCCGTCGAAGCGAAACGAGGCCGCTGAATGAGCGTGACACTCGGCTGGAAAGCAGCGGAGCTTTTATTATGCCACAGTCGAGCGCTTCCGCTCCTTCTGTTACAAAATATATAACACTGTTCTAGTGGTTTTTGGATATTTTAATAAAAAAATTCGTACATATTGTGCCTTTAAGTAAACGATCGTCTTTACAACCTACTTAGGCTCACAATGCTTTTGGGAAACAAATCCGTAATCAGTTTTTAGAGGCAAGCAAGGTCAATAAATGATGTTCTTTGTAGAGTATCTGTTCTTTAAATACTTTACGTTTCTGTAGTTGTATAAGTGTAAAAGAACACCAGTGTGTTTTGGGGTGAAATGCAAATATTGACATGCATCAGGTCCCTATAAGATGTTTAAACCAACCAAGCAAGACCTCTATTATTTACACATGGTTGCTTTGCTTGTATATTCATATACAAATATAATTAGGCTTACCTAGTAGAATAACAATACAGGCCAAAATGGCAATCAGAGCTCCGGTGCTGAGCCCTGCAGAGAGGATGAAAGGTTCAACATTGCAGGAGAGGATGGTGTCTTTGCTGTCGCAGCTGCACACTCGGATTATAAGAGTATTGGTGCTGCTCATCGGGGGTACGCCGTTGTCATTGATCTCGATGGGAAGGTGATACACATCCTGGGTCATTCTGCTGAAGCCCTTCCGGATCACAAAGATGCTAGCAGTGCTGTCTGTGGAAGCAACAGAGGAACATTGATGAAATGTTTACTTCAGCTGATGTGGATTTTAGTAAAAAACAACAGAGTTGTAAATGTGCTGAATAGAATTACAGGAAAGTTTTCCATTCCCCGGAGTTTAGGTGCCATGAGAACTACCCACAGCCACTGGTGAGAGTCAATGAGGTGTGAATCCTCCAATATTAAATTCATGTTTAATATTGAGAACATTTATCAGCTTTTGGAAGTGTAATCATAGTTAGAGTGGAGGGAGCAGTATTGGTTTTATTTGCAACTGGGAGGGATGGATCAGTGCCAGCGCATTTCCCTGACTCAGTGCAAGGTCACGCTGGAGGCATAGATGGAGTGAGTTCATTTAGGGGCCTGGGGTTTAGTCATTTTCACTCCCTCTGGCACCACTTTCTTCAACCTTCAGTGACTCTGTCAAATGTTTACTTCAGCTGATGTGGATTTTTAGTAAAAAACAACAGAGTTGTAAATGTGCTGAATAGAATTACAGGAAAGTTTTCCATTCCCCGGAGTTTAGGTGCCATGAGAACTACCCACAGCCACTGGTGAGAGTCAATGAGGTGTGAATCCTCCAATATTAAATTCATGTTTAATATTGAGAACATTTATCAGCTTTTGGAAGTGTAATCATAGTTAGAGTGGAGGGAGCAGTATTGGTTTTATTTGCAACTGGGAGGGATGGATCAGTGCCAGCGCATTTCCCTGACTCAGTGCAAGGTCACGCTGGAGGCATAGATGGAGTGAGTTCATTTAGGGGCCTGGGGTTTAGTCATTTTCATTCCTTCTGGCACCACTTTCTTCAACCTTCAGTGACTCTGTCAGGGAAGGCCACTAATGATTTGGCTACAACGCTCATATAGCATGACGCCGTGGACAGGATCGATCAATCTAATGTTATCCATTATAATTCTATATCATATTCTGTCAGTGAGATTACCATGGGATGTGTGAAGTATCAATTTGCAACATTTGAACCCGAGAGAGCTTCTCTGGGTCCTTGTTCACGATGTGGTGCTTTTGGGCCACCTTGATTGGTAAATGCTGTACACTGAGAACTCTCACGGAAGCCTCCTTTGTGCCAGGAAGAGAGCATGAATGCGTTGGCCATGTACGCATGATGTGTGACAAAAATATAGATTCTGATATTATAAAAAAAAAAATTTTCAAAGGTAAATACTTTTTTTTGTCTGCCAATGTCAATGTGAAGCCAAATCAAATTATTAATAAATCATTATCTGGAAAATATTATATGGAAGACTGTTTCCACCTCTAAATAAAAAATAAAAAAGGCTATTTATCTCACAACTTTCTTTTTTTCTCAGAATTGTACGTTTATATCTTGCAGTTCTGACTTTATAACAAGCAATTGTGACTTTATATCTCTGACTTTATAACTAAAAATTGCGAGTTTATATAATTATGAGTTTATATCACGCAATTCTGAGAAAACATGTCAGAATTACGAGATATAAGCTCACAATCGCATGTAAAAAAGTACTAATTGTGAGATAAAAAGTCATATTACCATTTATTTATTTATTTAATTCAGTGGCAGAAACGGGTTTCCATAATTATTAAACAATATGTATAAAAAAATAAATACAAAAATAAATACTGTTCTTTTAAACTTTCAATTCATCAAATAATCCTGAAGAAATCTTGGTTTTCATAAAATTAATAAGAAGCACAACTGTTTTCAACATTGATAATAATAACTGTTTCTTGAGCACCCAATCAGCATTTTAGAATGATTCCATGTGACACTGAAGACTGGAGCAATGGCTGCTAAAACAAAATCGAAATATATTCCAATAGAAATCAACAATTTCAACAATAGTTCACATTGCTGTTTTTAATGTATTGTCACTTCTTTCAAAAACATAAAAAAAAAAAACTTACAGACCACGAATTTATGCCTCTAAACGACAGACGTTTAAGAAAAATTGCAATTGCTGGTTGATGATTAATTCCTGCATTTAAATTCAGTTGGCAATCTCAAAACCTTGAAGATCAAAACCAGATCTGATGCATTTTTACTTTTCCATTATTACTAAACAGATAATATTTCATACACTTAATATTTAGAGTTCATGCACATATATAATCAGCAGGCCTTCAATACGTCCGTCTGATAAGATGCCAGAGCCACTGTGCGGAGAGTTGAGCATAATGGAGCTTCAGATAAATGGGTGGGCAAAGCTGTTGAAAACTGTATCCATTTGAAAAGGGAGCTCTGGATCCTGATAAAGTCAGTCAATCTGAGTAGCCTAATCTGTCTCCCTAATATTGTTGGCTTTTGAAATGGCCTGCTAAAAAGTGCTCATCTCCTTTCTCATTAAAGCAGACCAAATGGGAAAGACAGTCATTTCTCTCTCTCTTTCACTCCGTTAACTTCTCTGTTCACATCAGTCCGCTCTATTAGCCAAGAAAAAAGCCTATACAGATATGTGATGGTAAACATTCACCCTTTAAAAACAATTAACACATGTTTAACTCAGTCAGGCAACAATTATGTGGAGTAACTGGAATCAGCTACTGACGCCTTTATTGGATTTCATGATATTTCCAATCTATTGGTGGTCAAAGAAAAATACAGCACAATCAGAAATTAGCCAATGGAACACAGCAGTTCAGTTAATGACATCAATTTGTAGGCCAACCTGGAAGGCTATTTCACCATGGGGTCCCTTGCGGTGTTTAGAATAGAAAAGGTTTTCGATTTTTGAGTAAAATAAGGTCTGTGGTAAAATATGGTTAAATTACATGGAGCTACAGTTGTCTGATTCTTTAAGCACTTGTGAACTCACATCCTTGAGTTGTAGTGCTTATTTAGCAAAGACAAACAGCAGCTTCCACTGTTTAAGGTATGACTGGTTGTGATTTATGTAAACAGAATGGGAAAATCTGAAGTAATTCTAAAAACCGACTGGACATTTCTGATCCGATGGCTTGAAAATGCTAATTATTTTCCAGGTTTTACAACTAGAAATTCAACAGCTCCACAGGTGGAAAATAGATTAGTTCTTTATCATATGTTAGACTACTACCATTATCATAGCATAGCAGTCACACTAAGCATTCTAAAATAACACCAAAGCTCCTTGTAAGCAAAGTAAACACAATTTACAGTTTCTTTGAAGCATACATAATTCAGCTTGTAATCTACCACGAGCCACCACATAATGAGTTCATATAAAAGCAGCAAATTCCCCTCAAACTGATCAGCACCCAGTCACAATGACACTCCTCAGAGAGGCTCTTCAACTGGCTCTAACTTGAGGCCTCTTGTTTCCCAGTGATTGACTCTCATATTACAGTAGGTGGGGTTTTCCTACATGGTCTTCAGACCTGTGTCTACCTGTTTGAGGAAAGACTATTGGACTAAAGTATGGTGCTGAAGGTTTTCTGGGCACACCAAGCAGGATGCTTGAGAAACAGATAGAAACGGGGCTGCCTACCAGCTGGGCCTCACCCACGTTTCGAATCCTCCATAATTAATAAGAGAGGAAGTTGATTTGAGTTTGCCCACCTCATCATGACCTAATTATCAACACGAGGTTGGCTGGGCGACACTGCAGACCCTCACTCCTACACATGGATAAACTCTTTTGGTTTGGAAAGAGACTAAAATATTTTGTGTTTTCAATTGGCCCATTGCCTTAGGCAGTTTACTTGGCTTGAAATAAGCAGTTCTTCAGTGCAAATTATTCTATTATGGGGTGTTTTGTGTATCACACACCTCTGTTGTCCTTGATGGAGAAACTGTGGTTGTTAGCGACCTCAGGGGCAAGGCTGAAGTGGAAGTGCTGGCGGTGGGCCATTTCGTCCTTATCCGTAGCACTAACTGTCTCAATGAGCTGTGGAGCAGAGAGTTCAAATCAGGTCATGTTAAACTGGTAAAAATCACCAGGGCATGCCTTTAAATAAATGGATGCCTCTTTTATCTCTTTTTCTTTCTCTCTCTCTCTCTCTTTTATTGTTACTCATTCAAACTTGCAACTGCCCAACAAAGGGAAAGTGAACATCGCATTGATTAAATTTAGACATCAATATAATCTTTTATAGTGTTCATTTAAAAGTTTTGATGGAAGTTGTGACCTCTTTTAGGCATTAGCTAATTCATTAACAGTTTATTGTACCTATTTAAAGACAGTCATACATTTCATAGATACAGGGATCAAATAAGTGTCAATAAGCTATCCAAGCCAATACGTCACCACTATACTAAAATATTATCTGGAAGCACTTCCATATTTTTATGGAAACCATAAATCCATTTTTTCAGAATTGTTTGATGAATAGAAAGGTCAAAAGAACAGCATTTATTTGAAGTAGAAATATTTTGTAATATTATAAATAGCTTTATTGTAACTTTTGATGCATCCTTGCTGGATAAAAGTGATTAATAAAATCTTACTGATCCCAGACTTTTGAATGGTAGTGTACAGGTATGCACTGATAACATAAACACAATACCTTACTAATATATATATATATATATATATCATTGTTATTCATATCTACAAATATAAATTAACCTTACTGTAAAGTGTTGCTAATTATTTAATAAGTGCTAAAATATTAAATTTGTCCTCATAGAAAAACAGTTAGTTGACTTACCTTTCCAGGGCTGACATTCTCACAGACAAGCACTTCATTTTGAGCGGCAAATTCTGGAGCATTGTCATTCACATCTTTGACTTTGATATTGACTCGTACTTTTGCATCTTGGTGATGGCCACCTGGGACAACAACAGAATTTAAAAAGAGACTTAAGATTTATCATTAATTCAGTGTGCTGTAAAAACGTTAGGTAGCCCTTAGTGGAAGGACGTGAGTGACAAGACACTACCAAAATTGTCAAAGCAGCCCTGAAAAAGTATGATTCACTCACATCTCCTATCTGAAATGATCAGGTATAGTGAATGCCTTGATATTTTGCTTCCAGACACAAGAGTCTTCCACATAACCAAAGAATATTTCTGATGTAGTTTTCAAGTCTTTAGACATTAATTTTTGATGGTCGAAATTATCAAAGACAGTGGAATGAAAAGGAAAATGTATCACACAGAAACTTTGAATTCAACCAGAAACAAACACTAACTGCCCCTCAAGGAAATCACATGCACACAAAAATAAATATATAACATTTTAGGGCCAATTACACACTGTTCACTGAACTGAGGGTATCATTTGAAGTTTGAAGAGGTAATCTGTGGCTGTCTCTTCTGAAATCATGCAGGAGGCCTGGCGACACTACAACCACATAAGAGCAGGGTGGAGGGAGAGCTGAAGAGCTTGGTTAGGGAAAAAATGCAACACGCTAGTCTACTCTGTTATTTAAAAGCCCAGAAAAGATATGAGTGACCTACCAATCTCTGTAGCACTGACGGAGATGTTGTGCCAAGCCTGTGCTTCCCGATCTAAAGGCCTTGTGGTCTTAATAATGCCGTCCTCAGTATTAATGGTGAAAAACTCTTCCAAGTCTGTGTAGCGTGGGATCATATATCTGGGATGATGTATAGAAAAAAGAAAAAGAAAATCAGTATTTTTTTCTTTCTTTCTCAGGCTCTTTTTGAATTGTATCTAATGAATTAAACTTCCCTGAAGAGTACAACATTTAATGACTGTCATCAGACAAGTACTAAGCATACTGCTCTACTGACAAAAAACAGCCAAAGCAAAAGTAATTATTTTTACAGGAAGCGGTTGCTACCTGATGGGGTTGTTCATGATGTCGGTGTCTTTGGCATGCACACGGCCGACCAGTGTGCCTGCCGGGGCGTTTTCCTCCACCTCAAAGTTGTAGCCGGGAGCCATGAAGGTCGGGGGCTCGTCTGCATCTTCTACTGATATTTTCACAATGGTCGTATCTTTGTACGGACCCCAGGCAGCGAAACGGGAGTCAATGTGTGTGTTGGAGGCTTCTACCTTCAGTGTGTACGATCGCTTGGTCTCAAAGTCCACAGTCTGAAAACAAGAGGTCAGGAAACAAATTAGTTATTCAATTTGATGGAAGCTATCAATAGAAAAAAAAATAAAAAAGTTACTTTCAGGAATCACTCTACATGTTTGAATATGAAAATGACCCCTCTCTCAATTGATTCTGGACTGCATGGAGAACCAAAGGTGAATTAAAAGATAAATGAGCCTGAGCAATAAAATAACCATTAATAGATTACCAATACATCAAGAGAAATGAAGCAGAAAAAAAACACTAGAATATATCTAACAAAAATAAATAAATAATAAGGGAAAAGTTTAAAAGAAGCAGACTAGAGGGCACTGTTGTTATACATTTGGGAAGGAGACTAAATCTACAAAGAAGCTCAAATGAGAAAGCATTTCGAATATCAAGGCTCTTGCAGACATCTTTCAGTTACAGACTGCACTTCTTTACAATTCTCAAAAGGCACAATTCTCATGCAATTTAGGTTCAAGCAAATGAAACAGGATAAAAAAAAACTCTGCTCAAAAGCAGCCAGTCATTTGGTCCGCTCATGTCCTCCTGCATCACCAGTTTTCACACGTCCGCCTGTTTTCTGATTAGCCTGTCTCACCCGTCACACCTCTCGGTCACAAATTACCAAGTTACCAAGTGAGAATTACACATAAACGGTACATATCAACTCAAACACACACCCACACGTACACATGCCAGGTAGCTGTGTGTTAATTGGTTGAAAGTTGTTTTTCTTGCTTCCTCATTCTCTTCTCCCCCATTTTCTTGTCTTTTCTTTTCTTTGGATCTCTTTATTGGAGCTGCCAACGCTGGAAACAAGTATGACCCAGTTATTTCCTCCAACAGGTTGGAAACTATTCTGTTTATCCTGACAACAGCAGTCCCCCTCTCTCTCTCTTTATCCTACTACAATTCTTTATTTGGCACCTAATAACTCCCGACTCGAACCTAATCAGGAGCAGATAATATTCACAATAATGCTGCATCTCCTCTTAATATTCAGCCTGTGTCGCCTGCCCGCAGTTGAAACAGAATACTTGATTAAAACCCTGGCAATTCCGTCAGTAATTTCGACTTTAATTTTCAACATGCTTTGAAGAGCAAAAGGTGATGATTTCCCAAGAGGTGTATCAGCGAGGCATTGTGTTATTGAGTGAAGCAGCATTGCATCAAGCTGATTGTTGTTGGCATGCCGTATTGTCTGTTCTCTCACCCTTCTGCATGATTCATCCCCTCCTTATAGCCTTCTCGGCTGAAAAAGCACTGCTGTGGCCACGACGTTTAAAAAAACTAAACAAAACAAAAAAACAAGTGAGGCTGACAAAATCCCCCTCCAATTGTACCAGCACCATACATACCTCCTTTACACAAATAACATTCACAATATGTGACCCTGAACCACAAAACCAGTCATAAGGGTCAATTTTTTTTTTAATTGAGATTTCTACATCATCTTAAAGCTGAATAAATATGTTTCCATTGATGTATGGTTTGTTGGGATAGGAAAATATTTGGCCGATATTCAACTATTTGAAAATCTGGAATCTGAGGGTGAAAAAAATCTAAATACTGAGGAAAATCGCCTTTAAAGTTGTCCAAATGAAGCTCTTAGCAATGCATATTACAAATCAAAAATTAAGGTTTTTTATATTTACGGTAGGAAATGTACTAAATATCTTCAAGGAGCATGGTCTTTAATTAATATACTAATTATTTCTGGCATAAAAGAAACATCGATAATTTTGACTCATATAAAGTTTTTTTGGCTATTGCTACAAATATACCCCAGCAACTTAAGACTGGTTTTGTGCTCCAGGGTCACATATGCTAATGCTTCACCGGATTACACAGCTCAAACAGCAATAATTCTTGGCTGCATATGTTTTCCTTTCTTCAGTATGCTTCCTTTCTAATGATCATTTCGTGGATGATCATTTGACATCTTGAGCTGTGGGGGTGAAGGGTAAAGGATTACCAGCAGGTGGCAGTGTTACGACTGCAGACTGGGTCTCTTTGGCTCTCAGGCTAAAGCTGGTTAGTGGCTAGCAGGCTTCTCGGGGTGATGTGAGTTTTCTCTCAGCCACGGGAGGTGGGGGTATGGACGGCCTAACCCGAGTGGCTGTGTAATTGTCTGCATAAGCCAGGGCCTCAGAGCAGGGGAGGAATAACCCGGGCAGCACGGCCCAGATGAGCTTCTCTCACACGTACAGAGAGAAGCAGCCATGAAAGTCAATGCTCATCTCAGACATAATAGGAAAGGGATGGGCTATGTCATTGCAATTACAGAGTGAAAATGGTGAAAAATCACTCCAGCTGCCCAGCAGTCCTGCACTTGCACTCACAACCTTGCATATTTGAGCGTCCATGCAAATAGGAACACAAATGACCAAGCAAATGAGCTAAATGAAAACAATTCCTCAAGAAGAAAAAAACAAGAGAAATTCACTATAATGCTATCTGACAAGAACACCCCTCCCCTTGCTTTCATTCACAATTGCACATATGTGACTAGAAGTTGCATTCACACATACTTCTTTGGCACTCTCAGACACTTCACCTTCTTCAGTTTGATGACTGCCTCCTGGGTCTCCGAATCCTTGGTGATCTCGAAGAGGTTCATGCCGTCTCCCTCCAAGATTCGATAATCCACCAGTCCGTTCTCTGCCTGATCAGGATCTCTGGCCTTCAATCGACCCACCTCCTCTCCGGGAACCTTGTCCTCTGAGACCGCCATGGCGTAAACACCTGTGAAGAAGAGTAGTGAGTCCCGGGAGCTCTCAGAAAAAGGGGGGGGGGGTAATATGGTTCATAATATCTCTGAGTCACAGGCAAGAAAAATCATGATCACACTGCCCACTCGGGAATGGAGAGCCGGTTCGCTGCATGATACCGGTGCTACCTTCATCTAGCTGCCTGGCACCTGTGAGCTCTTAGCTGGTGATTGTGCGAGCTTAATTAGCAAATGTATTGTCCTTAATATACTGGATGATCGTCATTTTCGGTTTCATCTGTAAATATGTTAAAATTTACAGTAGTTACATTTACAAGCTTTAGTAAATGCATACTGCTCTTAGGGCACCTTACCATCTTGTACATCTCCTACCATGTACATGTCATACACAGACAGCTTTTATCCAGTAGGGCAACTGACCTTGGTCTTATACTTCAGCATAGTGCTGTCGAATAAAATTCTAGCTTTCAACTGGCACTTTACTCTTCCAGTCATCTTTCAGACCAGAAAAATATGTGCCTATTTTGTTCATTCGTGAGGTCCTTGAAGCATTTAACACAAATGCACTATTAATAGTTATATGATGGTTTTGTTAGTACCACACAGATGAGCAGCACTGAACAGGATCGAGCAAAACATCCAGCTTCAGTTTATTAGCAGCATCTGCTTCATCTCCTCTGACTGCTGTAGGGGATTCCACTGCCACTGGGACATTGTAGGACTAATGTGACCACGGGTTAATTTAGCTCAGAGAATGCAAGGTGCTCTTGCAAAGCGTGAAAGGACTACCCTCTTCATTCCCAATCCTCATACCGTGGTAATTGAATTGAAGCCAAACATGATTTGAAATTGCACATGATGCATATTTGAATGCATGGCTGGCTCCACAGAACTAACACCAAACCAGTGAAAATATAATTACTGATGACTGTACCTGTTTGTGGCTCAACAGAAAAATAAGGCTGGCCCTGCAGGATGCTGTAGACCAGCCTGGCACTGTTGCCGTATGTAGGGTCATCTGCGTCTGTAGCTGTGACCTTTATCACTGAAGTACCTGAAGAGAAAGAACATCACACATCATCAGCCATGATAGAGATCGCTTTTGGATATTGCACAGATCTCACAGTCTAAGATACACTTCCCATCGAAATTCACAACAAAGATAAGAGAGACACTAGCAACTTGGATATTTCTCAGGTTATAAAGTTGATCTTGAATAACCTTTTTTAAAGGCAACGAGAGTATTTCAGAGGCTAAAGCTAGATGATACAAACCACTGCCTCGGGTTTGTGCATGCAATGTTTTGCTTCAGCCAGGCTAATTTCCATGAAATCTGATTCTGTTTACACACTAAAATCAATTTACCCAGCATGTTTACCAACTTGTCTAAAAATATAAGGAATTGACCTGGATGAAACTAGCCTTTCGAGGTTCCCTGTAGTATTATGTGAGCTATGAACAGGGGGTATTGGGGTAACAGATCGTTACCCTGTGACAGGAGAGCATTACTCATGATGTATTGCACAGTGAAAATGCAGTAAAAACAAATCCATGCACACAAACAAATTCATGCGCACACACACACACACACAAAAATGTGTCATTGATCAGGTGAAATCCTTTTCAGATGTTCTTGGAAAAGTCAGATGTTCTTGTTTCCACTGAAGCACAAGATGTTCTTTGGCTCAAATCATGCTGGAGACCATGATCATCAGGTTTTACAAACACACTTGGGGAGTTCGTGCAGCTCGAGTGCTGCTCTCATTAAAGCAAATGCGGGAAAAATCAAACACAAAGACATTCTGAAATTCATGTATCTCATTTCAACTTTTAGTTAAATTGTTATGCTTACAATATAATTTGTAATGAGAACAATTCATTAAATTAAATAAATGTTGCTCTAAGACTTGGACCCCATTTTCTCATCCACTGAGCCGCTAACAACCTTCAGCTCTGACAACAGCCACGGTGAACCACACACACACACATGCACGCACACTGTGCCATCCTTACCCTAATCATAGTAAGTCAAATCCTCACTTTACACACATACGGAGGAGGGGTTTGTTAGAGTGTGAAAGGCCCCAGAGGGGTGGATAAGCAAGACAGAAAATTAATCCTAACCAATTGCCAGTCTGCAAAGCAAAGCCCGTAAATATATCCCAAATAAAGTGCAACCAGTAGCGAACTAGGAAAGTGGCTGCCCTTGCACAGGCAGACCTCTGTACTGTCAGGCCCTGATCACATTATATTACTTGGCTGTAAATTGGCATCAGAGCTAGAGAAATAAGACATTCTATCCCCTCCTTTCATTATTGACTGGCCACCAAAATGTCAGGATTAGGTATGCTCCGATACTCAGTATCGGGATCGGCTCCGATACTGCCATTTTCTGTCGGATCGGGTATCGGTCAGACGAGACCGATCTAAATCCGATATTGTGGCTATACTATTCTGGGTTATTGTTAAGCCCCAAGAAAGGCACAAACACATTATAAAGCACCATAAAGTTTTCGTGCACTATATTCCAAATATTCTGAAGGCTTTCCATTGTTAAATGTGAGGTTCAGATGAATGTTAAAGTCGTTAAATTCAAGTTTGCGTAAACTCGCTGTGGCTGTCAGTCATCATCCATTCAGCATTCAAACTGTGGGTTGCATTCGGTTAAGACAGTCAAGACCATGAAACTCTCTCCAAGATGATTGAATGTTCCAATTATCATACTTGATCTTTTGGATAAAATGACTTTATCTTGTTGGAGTTTAGTGTTGTTTCTAAAGCATGTTACTTTATACCGGGTGTCTGTTAGATCACTACACTGGAGTAGAAAGCACTATGAATTGTTCTTCACGCGCACACTAACTGAAATTTAAACCTGTTTAACTATTTCCCCGCCAGCATTGTTGAAAAAAGTTACCAGCCACCGCCAGCGATTTTGATGATTTTCACTGAAATTTGATGGCCTCCAGAATATTTTGCTGTATGAGTATTTGAATATGCAATACACCAAAATAAAGATCAGGGCCTCTACTTTTAAACAAAAACATCTGTTTTATTCCAGCTTAAAGCATTCTTTTTTATCAACACTTAAATATAGGTAGGTTTCATAAAAATGCATAATTTTGAGCAAAAAGGTGAGAAAATCACATTTGTATCAAAAACTACATCTGGATAATATTCAATACGATTATCAAAGCATTAATCCAGTAAATCGCTTCTATCAACACCTCCAAAGCTTGCACATTTTACTCCGTAACATTATACAGTTTTAATTTATATGCTGCCATTGCTGATGATCGCATTATTTTTAATATGCATCTGTTTACATAAGAGATCGCTCGTTTCTCCGTCCTGTTCACATGTGTTTTTGTTCGGGAGGTTTTGTACTCATTCAGAAGATGTGTAATAGCGCCCTCTAGTGCATAACAGTGCAAAAACGGTGCTGGTGTTGGATCGGTATTGGTTTTGGCCGATACGGATCGGTTCTGAAAAATGGTATTGGTGCATCTCTAGTCAGGATGAACTGTTACTTGAAGTGGTTTTACAGCCTCTAAACTCTTCCTCTCAAGGGTGCTTCTTACAAGCACTAGGAATCCAGAGCATTTACCCCGATTAAAATACTTTTTTTTTTATTATTATTTATTAAAGAAGTATCTTATGCTCACTAAGGCTGCATTTATTTGATCAAAAATACAGTACAACAGTACTATTGTGAAATATTTTTGCAAATTAAAATAACTGTTTTCTATTTTAATAATAATTGAGCGCCAATCACATGAATGATTTCTGAAGGATCATGTGACACTAAAGACTGGAGTAATGATGCTGAAAATTCAGCTTTGCATCACAGAAATAAATCACATTTTAAAATATATTCAAATAGAACAAGTTCTTTAAATTAATTATATTTTATTAATTATTAATACAATATTTCACAATCGTAATTCCACACTTGACCAGCAGTGTATATGGTGTGTGTGTGTGTGTGTGTGTGTGTGTGTGTGTGTTTAGTTGGATGTGAAGCTACAGGTGGAGTACATGTCCTTCAGCGCTCACGCTGACGCCAAAGGCATCATGCAGTTGATCCGCATGGCAGAACCCAGGAACATGCTGCTGGTGCACGGAGAGGCCAAGAAAATGGAGTTCCTCAAAGACAAGATCGAGCAAGAGTTTAGTAAGTCTACAACTCCTCAAAATACAATTAAACTTTGGACTGTACAGCGTGCTTTGCTGTTGCTAAATTCTAGTTCTGTGATTTATTCTTGGGAACTTTAGAGGGTAACAAATACAATACAAAAATTGTGGAATATGATCACTTTAATAGTGTACTTTACAGTGTTTGTAAGATGTTCTCTCTGTGCTGATGTTTTACCTCATCCAGGTATCAGCTGCTATATGCCGGCCAACGGAGAGACGACAACCATAGTGACGAACCCCAGCGTCCCTGTGGACATCTCGCTCAACCTGCTGAAGAGGGAGATGGCTCTCGGAGGTGTTGATTGACACGTACACCACTGACTGCTTTATTTGACCTGTTTACAGAAATGCCGTCATGACTTTTTGTCACATGTTTATGTTGGTCTTGCAGTTTCTGCTTTTCCTCTTTTAGTTTGACTTTATATTTTCTGGATCCCATTGGCTTAAAGGAATTTGCTGGGTTCAAGTTAAGGTCAAAAATCTATATTTATGGCATAATGTGGATTACTAGAAAAATTACTTTTCTTCCTTTTCCTTAAAAAATCTGGGTTAATCTGAGGCACTTGCAGCTGAAGTGAATGAGGCCGATCTGTAAACATTAAAATACTCACTGTTTAGATTGTATAGCCACACAATGTAAAAATAATATACTGTACATGTTAACAACTTACTAACGTTTCCTGAGTAAAATGATATATAGTTTTGCCATGACATTATATTGTCATAAATGCCAAATCCCTTTTAATTTATATGCTGCCATTGCTGATGATCGCATTATTTTTAATATGCATCTGTTTACATAAGAGATCGCTCGTTTCTCCGTCCTGTTCACATGTGTTTTTGTTCGGGAGGTTTTGTACTCATTCAGAAGATGTGTAATAGCGCCCTCTAGTGCATAACAGTGCAAAAACGGTGCTGGTGTTGGATCGGTATTGGTTTTGGCCGATACGGATCGGTTCTGAAAAATGGTATTGGTGCATCTCTAGTCAGGATGAACTGTTACTTGAAGTGGTTTTACAGCCTCTAAACTCTTCCTCTCAAGGGTGCTTCTTACAAGCACTAGGAATCCAGAGCATTTACCCCGATTAAAATACATTTTTTTTTTATTATTATTTATTAAAGAATTATCTTATGCTCACTAAGGCTGCATTTATTTGATCAAAAATACAGTACAACAGTACTATTGTGAAATTTTATCACGCACTCTTATCGGCCAGACGTCTAAGTGTGTCTCTGCTGAAGGGATTCAAGCTCTAGCATCTTAAAACATATTTGAGGGAGGAAATAAAATGTGGATATTGTAGCAGCAGGATTTGTGTGTCTCTGAAACGAAGAAACTGCTAGCGTGTACTGTTACGCCTAATGGAGGGCAAGGGAAGAAAATGCCTCAGTGTTTTGGAACCACAAATGATCACCCTGCCTCACAGCCTATAATTACTAGTTTAGTGGGATATATTCAGTGGAATATATTACACATGCCTTAAACTAAATATTGAATTCTGCACTATAAAATACCAAGACCTTAATCAGTTACGGATTCAGTTGCCACTGCAAGAGCCTTGGGATGAAATAAAGAAACTGCAAAATCTGAAAGGCACTGGAAGTAATCTTCTGGCCCAACTAGTATAAAGATATAAAACAAATAAACAGATGAATGGGTGGATGAATAGATTTCAAAATCCTTAGGAGAAATGGCAAACCGGATCCAGAAGCTCTGTCATGGCCTATTGCAAGCATTCAGAAGTCTGAGAAGAATCTAATTTCCTATCATATTTTCTCACAGCGGAAGGATCGAGAAAAGGAAACGGAGAGCGAAGGAGAGGAAGGGTTATGGAATGACACTTGAAATCAAACAAAAGTGAAGCTATTTCTGTGGAAGACTAAGACCTGAGTGAAGGACGGTTATTCTGTTCTTTGCACAGTATTTTCAGTTAACAGCCACTTACCCTGTTGGTTTCTGCATTTTAGTAACTATCGCTAAACAAAAGAAGAAAATTACAGCAATTCAGCTGCAAGCACACTCTGATTCTCTGGATATCCAACCACAAACTTAGTTTCTAATGAAAGGTGGCTTGAGAGCAAACTCTAATGAGAAAATGGTGTGGTCAGCTCTACTTTATTTTTCATTCACCCACCCCCCCCCTCAGTAACATTCACTGTTGTGGGATTGGGCAAAAGCACACTAGGGTAAAAGTGGTGTAAAGCAATAAAGATGATTAATCTCTGTGTATATTTGATATATGATACTGGCTGCTTGAATCCTTAGCAACTATGCTCAATGCTTTCACATGAGTCCCTGAGATTGTATTTGTATCTATAGTATGTGCACACGTACACATTAGATATTACACTAAAGTGGCTTTTGCCATCTTCCCCCCACCAAGAGTCAGTTCTGAGTTCGTATTTCACCATTACCAACATACAGGATTTCTATTTGACCATAAATACACCATGAAATCAACATGACTCCATTTAGGCTTAATGGATGAAGAGTTCACCTAATTCTGTTTACTACTGCTAATTGCTAGTTAGCTACTTGAAAACAGATACAAATAAAAATGTTGCTGTAAGCCTGTACTTAGAGCAGGGCTGCCCAAACTCAGTCCTGGAGGGCCAGTGTCCTGCAGAGTTCAGATCCAACTTGCCTCAATGCACCTGCTGCAAAGTTTCTAGTATGTCTAGTAAGAGCTTGATTAGCTGGTTCAGGTGTGTCTGATTGGGGTTGGAGCTAAACTCTGCAGGACCGAGGGGGACCGAGTTTGGGCACCCCTGACTTAGACATCTCTCTTTTATAGACAGACACTTTCAATAACTTTTATCAAGCTCAATAACGGTTTAAGCATGTCACACAAACTAGGAATTGCTGTATAATGAACAATGGAAAACTGTAATAAGTAATTCCCAGAAATGCCTGTGTGACTCATCACATATTATATAAATAATTGTTTCTTCTTGGCCACTTATGATTAACTCTGATTCAGCATGTGGGTTTCTGTTTTACTACCCATATTATTATGGTGGTTAAGAGTAAATTTAAGGTAAAGCAAATTTGGCTTTTGCCATCTTCCCCCCACCAAGAGTCAGTTCTGAGTTCGTATTTCACCATTACCAACATACAGGATTTCTATTTGACCATAAATACACCATGAAATCAACATGACTCCATTTAGGCTTAATGGATGAAGAGTTCACCTAATTCTGTTTACTACTGCTAATTGCTAGTTAGCTACTTGAAAACAGATACAAATAAAAATGTTGCTGTAAGCCTGTACTTAGAGCAGGGCTGCCCAAACTCAGTCCTGGAGGGCCAGTGTCCTGCAGAGTTCAGATCCAACTTGCCTCAATGCACCTGCTGCAAAGTTTCTAGTATGTCTAGTAAGAGCTTGATTAGCTGGTTCAGGTGTGTCTGATTGGGGTTGGAGCTAAACTCTGCAGGACCGAGGGGGACCGAGTTTGGGCACCCCTGACTTAGACATCTCTCTTTTATAGACAGACACTTTCAATAACTTTTATCAAGCTCAATAACGGTTTAAGCATGTCACACAAACTAGGAATTGCTGTATAATGAACAATGGAAAACTGTAATAAGTAATTCCCAGAAATGCCTGTGTGACTCATCACATATTATATAAATAATTGTTTCTTCTTGGCCACTTATGATTAACTCTGATTCAGCATGTGGGTTTCTGTTTTACTACCCATATTATTATGGTGGTTAAGAGTAAATTTAAGGTAAAGCAAATTTGGTAGTTCAGGTGGACTTGTATATTTGCATTATTCTATGAATTGTAAGTTGTAAAAATACAGGCACCAATATGCCATCCTGTAATACCGGAAACATTGTCACCATTTTTTTTACAGTGGATTTCTATCAAGCATAGCTGTCATGTTTTTCTTTTCCTTAAACCTAACAGAATACTCACTCACACACTCATACAGTCTCTATGCTGTTTTTCAAAAGTATACACTTACATGGTGATTCATATCCAGCAGTGCCTTTTGCCTTACTATGCAACTCCAGTTAATGTCACTGGTTTTTGATGGTCTGTTAAGATTGGTATTTTAAACCATGTTAGACTGTACATTTGAATATATTCTCCCTTTCTATATTTTCAAGAGCTCAAGTACTTCCTGCTGGTTTGGTGGCTGGCTTTGAAGCTTTTACAGATGTGTTGAAGAAACTTGGTTGCCTTCTACCCTGGTGTATATTGAGGGGATGCATATCAACAGCACAGTAAGTGGTTACACTGTATGTTGATAGTCCACATTACTAGATGCTCTGTAAGCTCTTAGTCTTAAGTATACGTAGTAATATTATGGTTAGGGTTAGGGTTAGTAGAATAAGCTGCCATGTACTTGCAAAGATACTTAGTCAGTAGAATGTCTATTGGGGGACCATCAAAATAAAGTGTTAGTAGATAAAAAAAAACAGACAGTCTCTAACAACTGGTAGTAGACATGTTGGTGCAGAGTTACGTATAATTAGAATAATGTCTAAAGTGGACTATTAAAGTAAAGTGTTTTTTAACCATCATCCTACTGCCTTAATGGATACACAGTAGACCCCGCTGTATGGCTGGAATCTGTATAACAGTGGTTGATCAAGTAGTTACCTCAGACTTCAGCCTGGATCAACAGAGTTAAGTGCTCTTTTCACCTCCACTGAATCTAATGAATCACAGCATTCATAATAGTACATCAGGTTTGATCGAGAAACCAAGAATGCTTAATGGTTATAGCACCACTAACGGTACCATAGAGAAATAATGACAGGGCATACATATTGTCCTGCCCTAGACTCATACCATTGGTCAACGTACAAATGGCTGACTTAAGGTGAGTCTCGAGAGTATTTGCAAGCAAAATCCAGTAATTTCAATGGGAATCCATGCAAATGAAAATTCTGCATGAGGGCAAATGATTTCTCTATACAGATTTCATAGTTGGTCACGTACATTTGCCACATTTACTAACAGAAAGCTGTTTGAAAGTTACTTCTGTGTCAGCTGTACTTCATACATCATTATATTGACTATAGACAATGGATTTTTTTGCCCGCAAAACCTGCTAATGTGACTGCACCTTTATAGTTGCCTCTTTATATTTAGCTGGAAGTGGAGAACATTTTGTAGAAACACTGAAACAATTACACATTTCATCTTTAAGTAGGCTTGTTTCACCCCAGACAGTGCAAGTTTCCTTCTAGCTCTGTATTTTCAAAGCCATTGAGACTTTTGAACTTTTGTGAAGGTTGCTCCCCTCTCATTCGACTCCTTCATCTTCACTTTCTCTTTAGGCACTTAGAGATCAACTCTCAAGACACAAAGAT